CTATTTTACTTTTATGTATTGTTTTGCATCTATTGTCTTGTACCCTCCCTTCCTTATTTTATGTAAGCCGCCCTGAGTCCCCTCAGGGAAAAGGGCGGCCTATAAATTCTAATAAAATGAAAAATGAAAATGAAATGAATGGGAGTATTTGCTGCAGTATCATCACCAAACCATTTTCAATCGGAGGGGATAGGCACGTCTTTATTACAAAGCCTTTTTCATTTATTTTTTTAAAACTCAAACACATACTGTTCTTTCTTCAACCAAAATGGAACTTATTTCAAACAACACCTCTGGCTCTCAATAAGATCCTTTTAAACAGTGCAGGGAAGCAGAGCAGTAAATTAAGGGACTGCCATAACACGGGTGAAATACAAATGTTTTATTTAGAAATGGTAATTACTTACCATGCCGCCTATCCCTGGAGTTAGCTGGAGTCCACGTCCCACAGACTGCCTCCGAGTCATTTGTATCCTCTGTATAGCCAAGAAAAATTTAGAAATGCTTCAGTGATTTCAGTAGAAAATGTCAGTTTTTTAAAAAAAATATAGGGTTGGGGATATTGTTCTCTTTTGAGACTGATTTAGACTCTTCTATTGTGCTATTTCAAAATGTGACTTGGTTGATTTTAGCTTGAAATGCTAGAAGCATCTAGCCATAGTGCTTAACAATGATTTATGGTTCAGTATTATGCTGGTTATTGCTTTCCCCAGATATCACAGAATGCAAGTATGAAGTCAGCCATTATCAGTTCTGCAAACGTTTTATCTTTGAATCGATTTTCCTGCTAATCTGTTTTTTGAAATCATAGGTTTACACTTGACTATGAATTCTGATGTATTTTCTCAGATAGACATTCTCTGGCATTTAGAAATATATTTCTGCTTAAAATAAGCATGAGTAAGCATTTTAAGGATTTCTTTCCTGGTGAGGAGAAATGTAATATCCAGAAAATCTAAACGCTACACTATACAACATTCAGACTCGAAACCACAAAATCACAGTCAATTTGGCTCACTTTAAAATCTCATTCTAGAACAACCTATCTTTAAAGAACTACTTCAATAAGAGCCAAGGTGGCACAGTGATTAAAGTGGAGCATTGCAGACTTCTTCAGTTGACTGCTAGCTACAGTTCGGCGGTTCAAATCTTTCTGAGGTTGGTAAAATGAGGATCCGGATTGTTGAGAGCAATATGCTGACTGTAAAACCGCTTAGAGAGGGTTGTGAAAGCACTTTGAAGCGGTATGTAAGTCTAAGTGCTATTGCTATTAATGAACTTCCTCGGGACGACTCTTCTAAATTGTTTAGATTCATTGCACAAAATAAACAAGCATTAGATGTACCACATCATCTAACGGGAAGCAAGAGGAGAGATGAACTCTGTTTCTCCTTTATCCTTAAACAGTGCCAATCCTTTTGGAGAGGCTGATGCATTTAGGAGAGATAATATGAAAGCACAGAGCAAAGGTCCAGAGATGTGTTTTGGATAGCCCACTGGGGTTAGGCAATTTAGAAACTTAAGAAAACTTAGCCCAATGGATCTGAATTGGGGAAGGGGAATAGTCAGAATAAAACTAAAATAGCAGTATGTAACAGCAGGGGGGCAAGATACAACCCCAGACATCAAAGGCAATCTTTGGTCCTCCACTATTAAGTTGTTTGGCTCCAGTGACCACTATCTGTGCTGATGAGGAGGATATGAGGGTGATGACAGTGCAAAAACATTTGAAGGGCCCTAGACTGCCCATTTATACGTGTAAATGGATTGCTTACTTGCTTACTGAATCTTCTTAGTAGGATTTCCTTCTGAAGAGGGCTGCGTAGGATTGCATTGTACAACTAGGAAATTTGAGCTCAAATCTCACATTGCTATAAAGAATACAAAATAACTTGATCTTCCATTAAAATTAAAAGCTTTATCTCTCTCTCTATCCTAACCTAAGGATCTCTAGCTCTCTATCTAGCTTCACCAACATAAGGAAAAAAGATCTCTGCATAGCCCAACATTCATGTTGAACACGTTTTGGAGCGTTAAGAATTGCAAACATGGTAAACTATTATGTAAATTGGGCCCGTTGGATAAATATGCAGAAATAATATCCTTTTATCATTTATATTTTAGTTTAAAAGGGTTAAATTTTGAAATATATGCCAAACACAATAATCCCGAGCATTTTTATTGCTCTTTTTGTGCAAACATGCTGTAAAATATGTAAAGGAAAATAGAACTTGGCTTCACTACATCATAACTACCCAAGAGAGGATTTGTATTTTGCGGATACAAATAAGCAAGGAGCAAATCTTTCAAAGCGACAGGGGCAAGAACAATTTCAGTGTAGCCTTCCCTGTGATTCTCGCACCTGTACTGGAGGTCCCAGTTCCTGAGGTGGAGCAGGAATCGCATGGATAGTTAATCGTGGAGGTAAAGGATGAGGTCGAGGTGGACGGGGAACTTGTCTCTCAGAAGCAGAAGTTGGTTGCTGCTCCCTTGGACTTTCCTGAGAGAACGTAGACTCTACGGTACCTGTGCTCCCATCGCCTGATGGATATGGAAATATATATATATATAATTACTCATGTTTAGATTATAATTATAATTACAAAGGCACATTTGTAAATCCAAATCATTTCTTGCTTCCTAAACCACTCTCAATTATATTTTCTTGGATGAGTAGTTCAATATATAGAGCCGAGGTGGCGCAGTGGTTAAATGCAGCACTGCAGACTACTTCAGCTGACTGAAGTTCTGCAGTTCGGCTGTTCAAATCTCACCGGCTCAGGGTTGACTCAGCCTTCCATCCTTCCGAGGTGGGT